ATCATATATATGCCTGAAACAAAGCCAAAAATCGACCTTCCCCTAATTTGCTTCATTTTCTTTTAGCCTAAAGGGGAGAGAGAGATAGAGAGCGCTCTCAGGAACTTCAACCAGAGGCCATGATTTTCCAGAATCCGGTGGGCCTCTGCCACGACGGCCGTCGTTGACTGGTGACAACCGTCGTCCATCGAAGTCGTAGAATAGAGAAGAAGATATCGTTTGAAGCGTCTTCTTACCCTGATTAAGAATCCGAGCTTCATTTAACCAGAAAGAGTTCCTAGAGTCGTAGATCTAGTAAAATCTCTTTGGTTTCTTTGACTCCGACAACCCTCGAGATGACCGGCGAGCGTCGAGGTAGGTGAGCCTTCTCCTTTCCCTCTCGGTTTTCTCTTTTTCTTTTTATGGCTGAAAACCCCCTTTATTTATTGATCGAATCCCTTTTTTGTTCGGTTTTTTGGTTTTTCACCCATGTTTGGTTCGAATTCCCCCTCTATTTTGTTGTTCTTTTTTTTTTCTTAAACTGGTTCCTCACTCATCTCTCTCTCCGTTCGAATCTTCTCTTTTATAGTGCTTTCTCTATTGCATGTTATCATCTCTCTGTACTCTTGTTGTCGAGTGATTTTACTTGATGTCAGCCTTGAATCTGATGTTTTAGGGTTGTGTTCTTATTTTATATGAGTAAAAAATATTTAAAATTATTTTTTTACTATTTTATTTGTCTTCCAAGTGGCCTGATTGATTTGTTGGCGACAGATTGAAGCGTCGGTGGTCGGTGTTGCAGCGAGAGTAGTGGCGGCGGGGCTACTCGACATCGGGCTTGGCGGTGGTAAGGCATAGCCCTAGGGTTATGATGAAACCCTAAGGTTCCTACAATCTCATTTAGATCGTTGGATCAAGGTAAGATCTAACGACTGAGGGCAATGGGCGGCTTTGTGAGAAGTTAGAAACCCAGTTGTTGGGTTGTTCCATCTTGGGCTTTCAGTTTGGGCCTGCTTGTTGTAATTTGGTTTGGGCTATTGTTTAGGCTCTGGGTCTTGTATTTTTGGATCTATAATTTGGACCAGTTTTGTAACCTGAAAATCATAATAAAATAATATTAATAATAAAAATAGTAATGATAATAATTAATAATAAACAATTAAAACCTAGACAAAAATGGGTGTCTACACATTTAATAAGGGTATGCAGCGATTTACATAATTCCAATCGCACTAAACAATTCCCATCAAAGGTGACTTCTATCAATTATGTAGGTAGGTAAACTTCACGAATATTCATTTCTTAAAATTGGCTGCACTGCATAATCTAACTGATCACCTTCAGAACCATCTTTGTATGGATCATGGGGAGAAGAACAGGTAATTAAACAGTATTTATTTAGTTCATGTATTGTAATAGTATTAGGGATAATCGACCTACTTAAGTCATACTCTAAAAACCTCAGGTGCGTTACAGTATTTAAAGCTTCATCGATATCTTTAGAAACTATCCAAAAGCATTTGCTTAATCCAAGTCATGAGGGTATTTAGATCATTCTGGTATTCTAGGTAGATTTATTCATTCCAGAGCTTAAGGGTATTTAGTCATTCCAAGGCTTGGGGTATTTTAGGTTATTTCACACTTCAAGTGTATTTTGGTCTTTTACAGTTCAAGGGTATTTTAGTCATTTTCTTATGTCCAATCTTTTCATTTAATTCAAACTTGTCATTTATTTCCATCATATCAAACAATCTAGATGTAAAATGTACTTCCATGGTGTTAGTCTTCAAGTACTTGCTCCGAAATCATAAATTCTAGGTTTTAAGCCTTTACGGAGGTTATGAACTGATTATCAATGATTCTCCGAACAAATCATGAAATTAACAGGTGTATCGGTAATTTTATCATGTCAAAAACCAATTCTCATATCAAATCCACTAACAATAGCAACTCCACGTCATTTTTACATCTCAAGGGCAATTTCATAATTTTTTATTCGGGTATTTTTGGTATTACAACTTTTAACAGGAATAATCAGAATTTAATGTTTATGCGGTTAATCGCAGCACTGATTAATCATTAAACTTGTAATCATTTATTACCATATTCTAATTTCTGATAGAGTCATCCGAGTCTTATTAATTTACATATTTTTTACTATATTCGGATCGAGTTTAGAGATGATTAACTACATACATGTGACAAAATATATTCTTTCATGCATTTAGCAATACCAACATGTACCATAATGCTTGCATGGGTAGTAAAGTATTACCTTGATTCTTAAGCTACACCAGTCAAACATTAAAAACTCTATTCGATCGCTCTCAAACTTGATTCCAACGTTCCATAATATCTCATATACATATCACCAGAAATTACATCAAAAACGGAGCTTAATTATGAAAGAATTATTGAATCGAGAGGTTAATCAGTGAAAACAACTTACCAAGTTCGAATTTGGAAAAACAGACTTTAGATTCGGACTCAAGATGTCGAAAAACATAAAATATGACTTTTCAAAAAATTTAACTTTTTAGTCAAAGTCAATGATCAACTCTGGTCAAAGTCAATTGTCAATAAAAATCAACAAGTTGACTCTTTATGAGCAAACTCAACCGAGTTGACTCAGCTTGATCGGCTCGGCGGCTCGGCTCGGTCCATACCGGTTCAGCCAGTTTACATACTCCCCTAGTTGACAGACGATGGCCACGATCAGGGGCGGCGTATGCGGTGGCTCCGGTCGTCGGCTCGTCGTGAAATTTTCCAGTCTTATGGATCGGCACCTTGGGAGTCTCGTGCATGCGTTATTTTTTTACAAAACATGGCGGAGTGTAAAATTTTAAAATGTTTGAACTTTTTCAATGGTGACCGACGAGTGACAACGGTGGAGCAATGACGACATGATGATTTCGATCGGGTTTTGAGCGCATGACGACAACGAGTTCGGTGGTGTAGGCGATGAGGTAAGCCGACGGCTAGATCAGCGACAATCGTCGTAATACGATGGTGTGATTTTGGGGTTTTTTGACGGGGCTTCAACAACTTTTATATGGCAATTGGAGGCCCTTATCGAAGCGGGGTAAGGAGGCTTTTCATAGCCGAACTATGGTGAGTCGAACGCAGGGTGTGGTGTCGACTATGATGGTAGGGTGACGATGTATTCGCTGAGGCCGGCGGGGGGTGTGCGGTTTGGGGGTAGGGATTTAGGAATTGGGTGTATAGCGGATTTAATGCCTTAAATGAAATTTTAATTAATAAAACCCTAAACAATACCCTAGCATAAACGACTAGGGCATGGGCAACCCTTCTGGATGACATGTGTTCAACACCCCGCAACACCTAATCATTTTTATATTTTTTCTCTGTTAACAGAAAATGGGTAAATTCAAGGCTAGGTCCCTAAATTTCCTGCAGCTTCTAAAACAACCTTCAAGTTCTAAAAACTTGTAATTTGATCCCTAATTTCATTAAATTATTTTTTAATTTTTTTCCAAAAAAGGGTTGTGACAATCTAAATTTCATGGGATAGATTTATATATCAATTTAAAATTTAACCATTTTACTAATGTGTCTCGCAATCAAACTAATATGAATTAACGAGTAAGTGATCAGAATAAGTTGGATCAAAAGCAAAAGTGACTCGAACGTACCTTTTTCAAAACCAATGATTAAAATAAAGTGAACCCAAAAGAATAGGAACCAGTGCTAAAGTTTACCCTATTTTATTTTATTTTTAAATTTGAAGATAAAAAAGATAAAAGTTGTAGGTTTGGTGGAATCACGTCTAAGTTGTTTTTTTGGGTAGAACTATGCCTTTACATCAAGAGATGAAGGGGCAGTAGTGAAGACTTGGAAGCTGGTTGGAAGCATGGCGAGGGAATCTACCGTGAAATTTGTTTCTCGAACCAAGGTAATAGTTTAATGTATATATTTTATGGTAAAATAATAAATTATGATAGAGATTACATGTTTTTCCCAAAGTGTTGCAATATTTTATGCATATATATTTTGGTGGAGCATTAGAAATTTTGATATTATTTAGAAAATTTAATTGGTCCAATTAACCTATTGTTGATCAAAATATCATAATAAAATATTTTATGTATATCTATATGTTTCTTAGACCTTATTTATCCATGAATAAAGATTGACCTAAGTGCATAGTTTATATTATATCGTGGTGCCTAAAACCGCACTATTATTAAATTCAAACCTAACCTCGCACTTAATCAATAACATTAATTTATCAATAGCACCAAAATATTCTTAAAAAATGTATAATAACGTTGATTTAGGATAACGTACACAAATGATCTAATATGACATTAATTTATCGAGTCATGTTATTATTAAAAGTTATAAAATCATATCTTAATTATTAAATATTACTTTGTTGACTCTCATGATTATTAAAAGTTACAAAATGATTTGTCAACTATTTATATATTCCAAACTCATCTTTTTCCGTTAAAAATTAACGACATTCTGAGCTGGGTGTTAACTTACTGATATATGATAAAATTATATTTTAATGACATCTACCAGCATCGACTTCTTTGAAGTACTAAATCAATGACGTAAGGTTTCAAGAATTGGCTTTACGATCTAATGTAAACAAATATTCGATCCACGAAAATATAGCTCAAACAATTTTGAGATTAGATTTTTTTCAAATTTCAATGAACATGTTAACGTCCAACTCAGACGGCCGTGAACTTTTTTAGCAGGAAAAGGCGAGTTTAAAACATATAAATAGTGAAGTTATTATTTTGTAACTTTTAATAATCCGAAAACTCGACAAACTTCATTTGGACATTTACCTATTGATTTAATTATCCAAAAAAAAAAATCATTTTATAACTTTTTAATGCTCGGGATTCGATATAACAACGTTATATATATTTGTGTACTCGACCCGTTGATTCATTACTTATGTGCAAACTTCATTTGGACATTTATGCCGGCCATTTGAGTATAGGAAGAAATAAATAAAGAAAGAAGAGACGTAACGCTAACGCATCGTAACTTTTCTTCACAAATTTAGATAAAGGATCGGTGCCGCTGGCTCTCAGTGCTCTTGAAGATGGCGGAAATAAGCTTAGAAGAAGCTGAAAGGTGCAACTACAATAGGCAAAACCAGTTGAAAGCTTTCGATGAAACAAAATCAGGTGTGAAAGGACTCGTAGATTCAGGTTTATCAAAGGTCCCAAAGATTTTCATCAACCAACAGTTGAAGCTGGAGAGAAACAACATCCAAAAACAGGAACCTTTAACCTCCATCAATGGCGGAATCCCGATCATAGACTTGACCCGCCTTGACGAAGACCCGGATTTACGACGCGGAATAGTGGAAACAGTTGGGGAGGCATGCGAGAAATGGGGTTTCTTCCAAGTTATCAACCATGGGATTCCGGTGACGACTTTGGATGCGATGATCGATGGGATCCGAGGGTTTCATGAACAAGAGAATGAAACTAAGAAAGAGTATTATTGTCGAGATTACACAAGAAAGGTGAATTATAATAGTAATTTCGATCTTTATTGGGCGGAAACAACCAATTGGAGGGATACCTTGACTTGCGTTATGGCACCTCGCCAACCTCTTCCTCAAGAACTGCCCATAATTTGCAGGTAAGTAATAGTTTACTGCTATTATACATTTTTTTTCTTGGATAAACTATACCATTCCTCAATGAAATTTGTTCTCTTCCCTATTTTACTTATTGTACTTTCATTTTTTTTAATTTATTCTCTCTCATTGTAAGTGAGTAAATTAAAAAATTTGAAAGTATAATGAGTGAAATAGGAGGAATAATAAAGTTTAGTGAAAGTAATATAATTTATCCTTTTTTTTTCTTTGGAATAGCAAACCTTACGTTGATTAAATAATTATTTACACAGTTAATATTTTATCTTAGAATAAAATAATAATTTTAGTTAGTCCCAACATTTTATTTTAAAGTAAAAAAAAAACTCTATTAGAAAGCGTTGACGGTTTCTTGATTGACAACGCTATACACATAAACTTTTTTTTTACTCATAACAAAACATTTAACTAAAATGATCTAGAAATAAATAGGAGTAAAAAATAACTTTTTACTTAAATGTTAAAAATGCTTTTATCTATTGTTGACTAAGCATATAGTTTTAGAAAGTAAAACGATAAAATTACCCTAAAAATTGATTAATAGATTTGTTTAGATGGGACAATATGAAAAAGAATAAAATAGAAAATATATATATTGTTATTTGTTGATTTTTCTAATAATATATTTTAAATAAAATAATTTTAAAATTCAACATTCAACAAGGACAAATCTAACTAGAAATAATATTACTATTTTTTAATCTTTTAGTTAAAAATCATGCCTGAAGCAAACTCAATCTGCAGGGATATATTGATAGAATATTCAAATGAAGTGATGAAATTAGGGCAGACTTTGCTGGGGTTGATGTCGGAAGCATTGGGTTTGAAGCGAGGTTATATGGAAGAGATTGGATGCGGTGAGGGGCTGTTTATGGTGGGCCATTACTATCCGCCGTGCCCAGAACCGGAGTTGACGTTGGGAACCAGCAGCCACACCGATAGTGGCTTCTTCACGGTGCTTTTACAAGATCAAATCGGTGGACTTCAAGTCCTCCACCAAAATCAATGGCTTGACGTTGACTTCATCCATGGGGCTCTTGTTTTGAATTTGGGCGATATGATGCAGGCAAGTCCCACCTTACCTTTAACCTACACAACATATAATTTTACCATGTTACCTTGTTTTTATAGTTTCATTCTTTGATGTGATTTTTAATTTTTTTTTAATAATCTGAGTGAATATAAGATAATATATATTCATAAAGTTTTTAGTCATTAATGACATATACACACATTATAAATATAGTTGATCGAACCTAGGACCTCTAAGTTATATAAAATTATATAACGTGATTAAATTTATGTAAATATAAAGTAGTTTTATTATTGTGAAGCTAAGAATTATTTTACTATTACTAGTTTTACGAATTATTTAGATCTAATTGAAAAGTCAAAGAAAAGAAGGCAACTTTTGAAGAAAATAAAAGTTGGCAGGAGTGGAAATTTAACCCACATTACATAAGGAAAATGATGAGAAACAAACGTGTTGAAAATTGGTAAAGGGTGGGTTACACTTTTGGTCTAAAAATTAGCTTATTTATAAGTTAATCATTGAACTCAATTATAAAAAAATCTAATCATTTTTATTTCTAATCATTCCAAAACCCTCTCAATAATATAGAAATTATATAGGTTTTATAGAGCTGTTTATCTTTTTTTTTTTTTTTTAACAAGAGAATCTTCATTGCTTTCTCCTTTATCATATAGACAATTCCTATTTTTCTTAAACCTTTACCCGTAGTTTTTATGCTAGATTAATTTATTTAATACATTTATTAAATTAAAAATGTTTTTTTAATATCGTCATCTGCATTAACATTTTCCGAACATCTATCATTATTGATTATGATTCCCCCCACCCTTGTATACAGTTAATATCCAATGACAAATTCAAAAGTGTTCATCATAGAGTGCTTACAAATAAAAGAGGTCCAAGAATTTCAATAGCAAGTTTCTTTAGAACACATCTTCCACCTGAGAATGCTTCAAGGCTTTATGGACCAATCAAGGAATTGGTATCTGAAGAAAACCCTCCACTTTTTAGGGAAACTACTATCAAAGACTTTGTCTCAAGCTACTACTCAAAAGCCCTTGATTCTTCTACTCTTCAATACCTCCGGCTATGACTTCTTCCTCATTCAAGTGCCAAATTCTGCGTTTTAATGTTATAATTACATGTTTAGTCTATTAGTTTATAGAATTACCTTTAAGAAATTGGTCTGAATTATATTTAAGGTTCGAATTTTAACTTTTGTAATACATCTTGTTAACGTGGAATTATGCAAGTACTAGATAGACAATGGTAGTTTTAACCTGACAATCTCCTTAATTCTAGCTACAATATTCGAAACAATACAATCAACATTTCAGAAAATTCTACAATTACGTTCCCTCCAAATAAAAAAGATAGCACTATTCCAGGCCAGCTTCAGCACAAGAGATAACAAGGATTTACCCCGCAGCTTAGAAGCCCACGCAAGTTCCGAATCCCAGCAGATAACCATCCTGTTCAAATAGCACAAGCGCAAAATCTCCCCCAAACCTTTTTAGAGAGGTCGCATTGAAAATACAAGTGGTTACGGGACTCCATCTCACGTCTACAGAGGACACACAAGCTATCAACCTGCAACCCAAAAGCAATAAGCCTGTTTTTAGTTGGTAAAATATTCAGAACCGCCATCCAAGCTATGGTCGAGTTCCTGGGAATGTGAGCAGGGTGCCACACCAAACGCTCCCAAAAGAACCTTCTCCTTTCTAAGTTTGATCTCACCCCAAGTCTGGCCAATAAAAGAGAATGAAGAACCAAGGAACCATTGAATATTGGCAGCTTTACTTCTAAGACTCAACATGCACTTCCACGTCCAACTACAACCTTGAGGACCCTCCACCTGCTAGAAGGAAACCCTATTAAGCACATATGAATTGATCTAAGCAATCCATATCGAGACCTCCCTCAAAAGAATCTTCCTAATCAAGAGAAGGAAACAAGCTTGGCTTCAACAAATGAGGTCTTTGAGGCCAAGACCACCCTCCCATTTTGGGCAGCAAATAGCGGACCAGCTCACCCGAACACCCTAAACTATAACTCTTATTTTAAATTAGTCCTTACATTTTTTAACATTCTAATTTCATTCTTAAACTATAATGAGTTAATTCAAATACGAAAAAAATTAAATATAAACTAATTAAAATTGATTATAATATTATAATATAATTTAAATAATTTAAAGTAATTAAAAATTAAACTGATTAGAATAATATTATTTGATTAAAATATTAAAAATAAATAAAAGAATATAATAAGTGTTTTTAAAAATTTTAAATGAAAAGCGTTGTTATAACATAGCGTCATTGCTAAAGGATTAATCAACGAGCAATGTTCTGGCACACGTTATCATATAGGATAAAGGAATTGTTACATATGAGTAGGGCTCTAAAATGAGGCGAGATAAATCGCGAGCTACTCGAGATCGATTCGATCAAGGCTCGATAAATACTCGGATCGAATGAACTCGAGCTCGAGCTCGAGCTCGAGCTCGACTCGAGTTCTTAACGAGCCGAAACGAGCTACTCGATACTCGACTCGAAAAGCTCGTGAGCAGCTTGAAAAAAATGTTATATTATAATTTTAGATTTTTTAAAATTACATTATTAAAGATATATTAAAAATACACTATTGATGATTATAAAATTTTAAAAATATATTAAAAATTTTATAATACAACTACCCTCAAATTTTAATTTTTTTAATTAACCAGCCCAAGTCCAATTGTTACATTGTATATTACTAAAAGAAAAATAAAAGCTCATTTAATTAAGCACATATTAAATTAAACGTGTTTTGTTAAATTTTTTCTTTCTTTTTTAACTTTTTACTGCACAAGTACTTGACAACGTAGAAAAATAAAATAAAAAATAAGAAAAAACAACCAAACAATAGAAAAATTGAAAATGGTTAAAAATTATTTTTGAATAAATATTCTTATATTTATTTTAAATTAATAAAAAAATATTTATCTAATGACAAATATTTAATATATTCCTAATGATAATATTTTTAATAACTATTTTTTAAAATTGTTGTTATATTTTGAGGTTTCGGGTTCAAATATCATAAATATAAAGGGTTTGAGCATTTAATATCAAAATATTATATTGTACTTATCTCATAAATCAGTACCAAGTCGATTATTTAATGTATTTGTAATGAACCCTAAACTCTTAAACCCTAAATCATAATACCTAGCCCTTAATCCCTAATCCCTAAACATTAATCCCTAACCCTCTAACCCTCTAAACCCTAAACCATAATCCTTAATCCCTAAGTACTAAACCCTAAATCCTAAACAATAAATAGTAAACCATAAACCCTAAGCCCTTAATTCGATTATGCGATAGGGGTTAAGTTATACACATACTTATAATTAAGATAACATACAAATTATGCAAAATTATGTTATGTGACTCCTAAATAAATCATTCACATACTTATGTTTAGATAATATTAATAATTTATGTTGACTGTGTTATAAATACATTATTTTATTTTTAAAATCTTCATGATGCTTATTCATTCATATTTTTAGAAATGAATTTCAACGTATAATTAATACTATGTAGGTTTATTTGATATAATATTAATAATTGATTAAAAATATATTATAAAAGTTTATAAATATTATGTAGGTTTAATTAATAGTATACCACATTAAAACAACAATAGTAAATAACATTGTAACAATAATAATAATGTCAAAATATATAATTAAAGGGTTTATCACATTAAAACAACAATAATATACAATAGTAATAATACAAAGTCTAATCCATAATTAGTTCTACAACACATCAAACCAACAATATGTGGAACAAAAACAGTTCACATACTTCTTTAGAACGGGCAAACCTTGCCTTAGTCCTTGTATTTCATTTTTTCCTTCTCAAAACCGATAGTCGGAAATTGCTTCGCGTACTCCTCGACTTTTTTTCAGAGCTTAGCGATTTCAGATTGAAAGTTCATATCTGATTCCAAGATTACTACAAAATCCTTCAACTTTGTTCCTGGATTAATAGTAATTCAAGGGAAATATGCGAGCATATATTCCATTTTTACAACATATGTAAATATTGCCCTTCAGCTTTCTCTTTCTTTGCGGCAGGCGGCAGCTATTGACTGAAGGAAATGAAAATAAAGAAGAGATGGAAATTAAATAAAACATTAAAGAAGCAATGAAAAACACTTTGCCCTGAATTTCGAAGAGCGACTGCTTAGATTCTGCCCATTCCTAGATTCTCTCTCTCAGACTGGGTTTTGATTAGTAGTTGAAATGATGTCTTCGGCTAGTGAAGTTGCTTGCTCTTACGCTGCTTTGATTCTCCATGACGATGGCGTCCTCATTACCGCTGAGAAGATTGCAACTTTAGTTAAAGCTGCAAATGTTTCGGTTGAATCATACCGGCCGAGTTTGTTCGCTAAGCTTTTCGAGAAGTGTGATATTGAGAATCTCATAACGAATGTTGGTGCTGGTGGCGGCGGTGCTCCAGTCGCTGCCGCTGTATCCGTTGCCGCAGCCGGTGCTGGTGCTTCTGCTCCTGCTCCTGCTGAGGAAAAGAAGAAGGAAGAGCCGGAGGAGGAGAGCGATGATGATTTGGGATTCAGTTTGTTTGATTAGAAAGATCCTTTCAATTCCTGTTTTGGTTTTCATTACTCGTTTAATGCATTAAGCTTTGACAGTAGCTGTTGTTTTGAGTTTTATCTGTGTTAGTTTTTGGTTGTTTTGAGTATTCTTGTGAGAATTGCGTGTTTGAATCTTGTTATGCATACAATCCTTGTCTGACGCATTTGTAAAAGTTTTCAAGTGCTTCATTTCATGTGGTTCAATGGTTTGAAATACAAATCTTCTTCTTTTAAAATTAAAGAAGCAATGAAAGAATATAAGAAAAAAAGTTAGAGACATAGGAACCATGTAGCGGAGGGAGGTACGACTAAAGAAGGGTCTGATCGGAGACTTGAAGCAAAAAGTTAGTTGTGAGTTGATATCCCACATCGGTTATTGTTGGGGAATAAGGGGTAAGGTGAGTGTATAAAATGGGATAGGTTTTCAGCAAATCAACATTAACCTGTCGAGCTTGAATCGAGCTTCAAATCGAGCTTGAATCGAGCTCCAAATCGAGCTTCAATCGAGCTAGAGTTTCGAGCTCTTGAATTTTTGTTTGAGTTCGAGCCTTTTTGAGTTCGAGTCGAGTTTCAATATTATCTTTCGAGTTCGAGTCGAGCTTGAAAATTTTAGGCTCGCGAGTTTTCGAGTCGAGTCGAGCTTACATTTAAAGCTTTCGAGTTCAAGTCGAGCTCGGTAATACTTGAACTCTACTCGACTCGTTTACACCCCTACATATGAGCGTCTTCCGTAAGCTGTTGTTATAAAGTAACATTTTTGTCTTATCTAGTCGAAGAGGTACTATTTTGAAAAATTAATATTATTAGTGTGCTAATTTAGTGAAAAGAATGTGGGAATTGGTATTATTGAGATAAACTAATCATTTTGTATTATTTTTAATGTATCACGTCATCAAATTGATAGAAATTGTCACACCCTAATTTAGAGGCTAAGTTTTAGGAATTATAAAGTATTGAAGTAAAGTGGTAGTTTGGAAGAAATTGGTGATTAAATTATAAAATTGCAAAGTTGGCATACCATTTTAGAAAGTGCAGGAAGATTCAGGGACTTTGTGAGATGTTGAAAAATAAAACCCCCTCCACCTGTAATATGATTTTCCCCATATTGTTTTCCATATCGTTCCAACTTTGTATCCCCGATTCTTCACCGTTCGGCTACCATTCGTCGATCCAAAACCACCAATAGATTCACCATTGAACAGAGAACAAAACCCAACCTCTATTCCGTCATGAGTTGGCGTCGTTCGTCGTAAAACTCAACAGGAAGTTTCATCGGTTTTAACACGATCGCCGATGGTTTTCCGTCGATTCCGGTGGATCTGACCACCCGTTCATCACAATTCCTACACCATCGGACTCACCGTCACCGTGCGCTCAAAACTCGACCAAAATCATCGCGTCGTTGTTGCTCCATCGTCCTCACTCACCGATCATCATCGGATAAGTTGGTACGTTTTAAA